GGGGGGGGGATGCCGAGCCCCTGAGATAAGCAGCTCCCAGGTGTGGGCACCCACATTTCTGCACAGGCCCCTCCCAGCCCCCACCCCCCCCACCCCCCGGAAGACACATCCACTTGACTTATGAATCAGCTCCTGGCCGGGAGTAATTACCGAGTGGACAGCTCTCTGGCTGATTTCCTGAGCCAGTGCGGAGGACAGCTTCTCCTGGGGGCTCTGAGTGAGAAGCTGGGCCCTTTCTGCTCCTGTCTCGCACTTGCCACATTTTACGTGGATGAGGTCATTGGACTGCAGATGAGGTAACTGTGCAGCCAGCCCACGAGCTGGGAGAGGTTACCATGTGACCGTGCATGTAAACACAGAGATGTTGGGGGGGCGGAGGGGGTGCCGACAGCTGGTCTCTGCTCCTGGCTGCGGAGGAGCTGCAGGGCTCTGGGAACCTGTCCCAGCTCTTAAAGGAGCCAAATCGCCGCGTGAGCTGGGGTCACCCCCAACTTGGACGTGGGCCTCAGGGCACAGCGACATGAAGGAGCACTGGCTGCTCCCGGGACAGGTTGGGGTGGGGGGCATCGATAAGTAGATAACACTGTCCCTTAAAAGAGGAGCCTCCCAAAGTGGAGAGACACTGCAGACTGAGGAGCGTGTGGGGTTCCTCTGGTTCAGCTCTAAAGCCCTCTACCCCCCGGCTGGCAAAGGTGGGTCCACCATTTGGACATCCAGTCACATGTTCTAACAGTCTCTAAGTTAGAAACACGGCTGGAAAACAAGCATCATTTTTTTTTAAACCCATATAGAAATACATTTGTGGAAGCTCTTCTCTGCTACAGAATGACAGAATGCGTTTCCAGATGTGGAGTATCCTGCTCAGGTGTTACAGGGTCCCATGACTCTCAAGTCAGATTAGCCAAGTCCTGCATCTGTCCCATGCATTCCACAGCTTCTCCTTTTTTATTGACCTCCACGTGTACCAAACTACACGGTCCCATGTTCTGTATCGAACACCAGGAATTCGTAGGAAACAAGAGATTGGTCTTCCCCTCCACCCCCAGGCACTCACACACCAGCAGACAATTACTGTTACCACACACTAGCAATAATCTACGAATGACTCCCAGAGAGGGGGTGCATGTGTGCAGGGCACCTGTGGGAGCCATGAAAACAGAGGGCATCTCAAGGACGACCTGAGAGCCTCATTAAGCCGAGACCAGAAGAGTGAGAGTCACCATGCAAGTCACAGCAGGAACAGAGATGCACTTCTGGGCATGTCACATGTCTTATAACAATCTAGGAGGTTAAGTTCACCATGATCCCCATTCTACAGATGCCCACACAGCTTAAGAGAAGTTAGGTAACGGTCCAAGGAAGTGGCAGAAGCAGGATTTGAACCAAGGGGTGGGACCCCCGGCCGGCATTCTGTAATTCCCCTGCGTCAGGCACAGTCGAGGGAACACCAAAACAAGCAGATGCTCACAGCCAAGTGTGAGGCCCATAACCTGCCGGCAACACAAGCAGCTGAACTCACAGGAGGAACCGGAGGACCCCAGTAGAAGAGAGCAAGGTGATGGGGGGAACGTTCTGGAAAGAGAAAGCAGCAAATGTGTAGGCTCAGGTGTGTGCACAGTCACGCAAGCAGGCACACACACATCCGTGAGAGAGAGAGAAAAAGAGAGGGACTTTGCCAGCCACACCACATTAAAGAAGTTGAACTTTTTCCTAGGCCATGGGAAGCCACTGACGGACTTTAGACGGATTAATGAGATGATCAGATTTGTTTGTTTGAAATGTTGCTCTGGCTGCAGCGTGCACAATGGATCGGAAGGCAGTGAAGGGTTGGAAGAAGCCAAGTCGAGAAATGACGGCCAGGACCGAGGCGGAGCAGGGGGCGTACAACCAATGTCGGGAATTGCATTCTGCCCAGGAGGCAAGGTCGGCAGAGCTTGGTGACTGATTGGATGTGGGGTGTCGTGTGGGTGCAAGCGAGGAAGATGTTTTCTGACGGAGCGGCAGGATGTGGAAGATCAGGTTTAGATATGTTCATTAGGCACTCAGACGCGCAGCTCTCGGGCTCAGGAACCAGATCTGCTCTGAAGATAAAGTTTTAGGAGTCACCAATATATACAAAGCAATTGGACTGTGGGAGTTGCAACATGACTGCGATGTTACTAATACCCCATGTCTTTAACAGGAGTCTTTTTGATACTTACAGTAAGGCACGTTCTCGCCCCCTGGAATAGAAGCTGCGTGAGGACAGGCACGCGTCTTGCCTTGCTCTGCAATTGTTCTCCAGTGAGTGGCAGTAAATATCCCATAAATATTGTGCAATAAAAGAACTTTCTAAAATAAGTTACAAAAATAAGCCAGGAAGGGAGTTTTTTAGTTTTTTTGGTGTACCAAAGACTTTAAAATTTGAATTTCCCTCAGTGCCCTCGAGACATATTACGTGAGATAAGGAAACAAGCATGGTCCTTCCTGCCTTCTTCAGCTGCTGCGCGCACTTCTGCAGCATCACGGTTTATAACATTTCTCTTCTGTCCTTGACTCAATTGTAGTTTTTCTTGCTTTGTTAATGAAGGTTGCGTCTAAATTTTTAAACCCGAAAACAACATCTATAATAAAACTGTTATTGCACACGGGCACCTGCGTGGCTCAGTCGGTTAAGCATCTGACTCTTGATCTTGGCTCAGGTCATGATCTCGCAGATCCTGGGTTCGAGCCCCACATCCGGTTCGCCACTGACAGCTCAGAGCCTGCTTGGGATTCTGTCTCTCCTTCTATCTACCCCTCTCACCTGCTTGTGCTCTCTACCTCAAGATAAGTAAATAGACTTTAAAAACAATACTATTATTGCATAAATATCGCCCACTACAGCACTGAGAAATGTGACTGCGCTCATAAAAAAAAAAGCCAGTGTAGCAACTGGACCGAAGGCCACTAACTAACTCTGTGCTGCCCAAAGAAGGATGTTCCACACGTCAAGATCAAACGAGCTCTCTTCTCTTGAATGACATCAGCTGCTCTGAATCGTGCCGCGTCTCAGCTTGCTCCATATTTAAACTATAAATTTCTTATAAAATGTTTATTTTTTCTCACAATTTCTATTACCTTTCTTGTCTTGTGATTAACAGGAGACGTATGTGCTTGTCTTATGATGAAAATCTTCTAGGTTCTTAATCATCCAGTGTCTGTGATAGGAAGCCCTTTCTTAGGGAAGCCGTTCTTTATTGGGCCCTATGCTTACCTAGACTCATTGGGACCAACTGCTTTCTAAGACTGCCACTCAACCATCATCCTAGGGCCACTTTTCATTATATTCCTGGGTTAATTCTACCATTTCTCAGATTCCCACTTTTTTTTTCCTCTGGGACTTTTTTGTGTCAATTTTGCTATCATTATATCTCAGCCACATTAGCATCCCCTCTGCCCCCAGAAAATACCCAAACTGCTCCTACTTTATGGCCTCTACACGGCTCTTGCCCTGTGTTGAACGGCCCTCCCTCATCCCCTGCCTGAGATCCTTCTAGAGCTTGTTCCGTTGTACAACCCGACTCAGGTTTCAATGTTACCCCGTCACTGAGCCCCGCCCCTCGCCCCCCACTCTAAACAAACAAATAAAAACAACCTACCAGCCATACTCCATTAAAACTGCTTCTTTTATTTTCAACATAGCACTCTCACTTCCTGGTATTTTCTGGTTTTATTCACTTATTTATTACCTGTTCCTCTCCATTAAAATGCCAGGTCCAAGAGAGCAGGATTTTGTTTTGTCTCATCTGCTGGGAAACCTTGGCCCCTACAATAGCGACAGACATGGTTGAAAGAATTTGTGGAAGGCCACATCCATATATAACACCCAAATTTCTTCTACGCGGTCATCTGACATGGTAGAAGAGAGGCCAGAACCTCAACTCTTAACTCTTCTGAAATCTTGCTAACTGAAGCTATAAGCTCTCAGATGGAACCGGAGCTATAAATCAGTGCAACAAGCTGCTAGAGGACTCGGGGAGATGTTTCAAGAAAAATAGATGGTGGTCACAGCCAACTCACCGGCTTTTTTTCAGGTGAGAGCGTATGTAAGCTAAAGGGGAGAGACAAGTTGTTGGGTTTGCTCTCGGAAATACAGAAGACTAGGTATGGTGAAAATCCTTCCACTGCAAAACCCTGATGCGTTGGATGAACTGTGATAGTAAACAAATTGATGAACTCTCCAGATAATAAGGGAAATTCCCGTATTTAACATGAAGCAAGATAAGACAAAACACAATAAGCCATGAACAAACAAGTGAGAGGTTCAAAAGCTGGGGCTGCCGGGGGAAACAAATGCCAACACAGGGACTCTAAAGCAGAGGTTGGCAAACTACAGTATGCAGGCGAACCACCTGCTTTTGTAAATAGTTTTTTTTTTTTTTTTTTAAGTTTATTTTATTATTTATTTTGAGAGAGGGCACAAGCAGGGAGGGGCAAAGGGAGAAGGAGAGAGAATCCCAAGCAGGCTCTGCGCTGTCAGCACAGAGCCCGATGCTGGGCTTGATCTCACAAACCATGAGATCATGACCTGAGCCGAAATCAAGGGTCAGACACTCAACCAACTGAGCCACCCAGGAGCCCCTTTTGTAAATAGTTTTATTGACAAATGGCCACCCCTATTTACTTATGTATCCAGCAGAGTTCAATAGTTGCAACGGAGACCATATGGCTTGTAAGCCTAAAATATTTCTTATCTGATCCTTTAAGAAAACCTTCAATGGTTGTGCTGGGAAATGGGGTCTTTGGGCCTGTGCAAAATAGAGATGAACTTGAGTCTCAGATAAGCTTGTACCTTCAAAGGAGCTTATGGTCCAGGAAAAGGGTGGACGAGAAAAACATGACTCCTGGCAAAATAAGTCAGAAGGAAATCTATTCCTTCCATAGGTCCAGGTGGATCATATTATCAATGATAGTAATAACAATAATAATAATAAAAGACTAATAATGGTTTCCCTGGGAATGTGTAACTATGTGCTCCTGTCCCATGAATCTCAGGTTCAATATTTCATTACCCACCTAATCTTGAAAATCCCAAACAAAGAAAACAAGTTAAAGCAGTCCCCATTTGGTAACACCTGTGTGCCTGGCAGATGAAAATGCAAATCCACGCCAGAGCAAAGCCTTCTTAACCCAGTCATGTGAGGATCCTCATAGCTTAAGTTCAATAAAATATGTTAAAAAAAATTTTTTTAATGTTTATATATTTTTAAGAGAGAGAGACAGACAAAGCACGAATTGGGGAGGAGCAGAGAGAGGGGGAGACACAGAATCCAAAGCAGGCTCCAGGCTCCGAGGTGTCAGCACAGAGCCTGACGCGGGGCTTGAACCCACGAGCCATGAGATCATGACCTGAGCCAAAGTCGGACATTTAACCAACTGAGCCACCAAGGTGCCCCCATTAAATATGTTTTTAAAAAGAGAAAAAAGATTTACCAAACCACAAAGTAACCAACCACCATAAGTGAGAGTCAGCAAAAGCAACAAGCATGATTTAAACCTCCAGAACTTCAATACTGGAATTATCAGGTATAGAACATAAAAGAACTATGTATGAAATGTTGAAAGAAATATATGATAGAAAAGGAACAAGGAAAAGAGGGCTATCAAAAGTGACCAAAAAAAGATTTGACAAAGAACTAAACAGAACCTATAGAAATTGAAATTTAAAAAAATATACAATTAGGGGCACCTGGGTGGCTCAGTCGGTTAAGCGTCCGACTTTAGCTCAGGTTGTGATCTCACGGTTCGTGAGTTCAAGCCCTGCATCGGGCTCTGCGCTGACAGCTCAGAGCCTGGAGCCTGCTTCAGATTCTATGTCTCCTTCTCTCTCTGCCCCTTCCCCACTTGTGCTCTGTCTCTGTCTCCCAAAAATAAATAAATGTAAAAAATATATATATGTATATATATAATTAAAGCTACATATATTAAAATGTGTGTGTGTGTATGTGTGTGTGTGTGTGTACTAACGGATAGGTGAACCAGGCAAATAGACGTGAGGGAAGATAGGATTAGTAAACTGAAGACAGAGCCAAAATAAATAAATAAATAAATACTTAGAATGCAGCATAAAAAAGATAAGAAAATAGAAAACAGAACAAGAAAGAGAGGAAAGAATAAGCCTTTCTAACGTAGTTCCAGAGTTACACAAGAAAGAAGAAAAGGAATGAAAGAGAGAAACCTTGTTTGAAGAGATAATAGCTAAGAAAATGCCAGATCTAATGAAAACCATGAGTCGTCAGGGAAGGGAAGTATAATACATCTGAAGCAGGGTAAATTTTTGCTCAACGATCACACACACCGGGCACACCGTGTGAAACTGCAAAGCACCGAAGCTGAAGAGAAAAATCTTGAAAGCAACAAGAAAGAAAGGACAGCTTACCTACCGCAGAGTGACTGTGGTCTGACAGTGGACTTACAACGGAAACAATGAAGCCAAAAGACAGTGGAACCATGTTTTCAAAAGATGGAAAGAACTGTCAATCTAGAACTGTGTTCTCAGAAATAGTATCTTTCAAGAATGATATGGAAACAAAAAACTGGTGGCCAAACAAAAACGAATATAGTTTACACTTTACAGACTCATCAAGGGAGCATCTAAAGGGACCAAATGAGGGGCGCCTGGGTGGCACAGTCGGTTAAGCGTCCGACTTCAGCCAGGTCACGATCTCGCGGTCCGTGAGTTCGAGCCCCACGTCAGGCTCTGGGCTGATGGCTCGGAGCCTGGAGCCTGTTTCCGACTCTGTGTCTCCCTCTCTCTCTGCCCCTCCCCCGTTCATGCTCTGTCTCTCTCTGTCCCAAAAATAAATAAACGTTGAAAAAATAAAATAAAATAAAAATAAATAAAGGGACCAAATGAGAGGCGCCTGCGTGGCTCAGAAAGTTAGGCGTCTGACTCTTGACTTCAGCTCAAGTCATGATCTCACATCATGGTTCATGAGTTCAAGCCCTGCATTGGGCTCTGTGCTGAGAGCATGGAGCCTACCTGGGATTCCCTCTCTCCCACTCTCACTGCCCCTCGCCCATGCTTGCTCTCTCTCTCTCTCTCTCTCTCTCTCTCTCAAAAATAAATAAATAAACTTTAGAAGAACAAAATGATCCTAAAAGAATGCTCTGGAATAGAACACGAAATGCTGAGTTGAATTGCTTGGGAAGATAGAGGGGATTTTGAGACCAGAGAAGAAAGGGTAACAAGAAAGCTGGCCAAAACAAGAAACGATTTGTGGGAGTCAAAATGAATGTCTCATAGGATGTTTTATTATGTTTTTGCAGTGTGGAATATATTGTGAATTCTTCCTTTTGAATTTCTACCGTATCTTCATTAAATACACCTCTCTCTTAAGTATTGTGTAGCACTGAATTTCTCTCTCAAGATAGGATTAGGAGCCAGATATATGCTTAACCTGTGAGCAAGGCAGGAACAGGGTTACTTATACATGAAGTGTTGGTAGGGGAGAGGGCACTCTAGATGTGGTCCGAGCTCCGATGACCTCAACCTGAGTATTTTCTGGAAGAATCTAATGGTATTATTTCCCACAGTGCACTATCGTGGCTTTTTTCTCCATACCACTCATCATGAGCACAAGAGTTTACTTACCAGGCTGGAGTGTGGAGTAAAGGAAGCATCCTTCTTATCTTAAAAGTTAGGGCAGCACCCCCATTTTCACCCCACTCAGTCCTCAGTGTTGATGACGGGTTCTAAGCACGACCTTAAGGGAAAAGGGAAATCAGAAAAGTCACATTTACTGAGTACGCACATGACCAGGCACTGTGTGCCGCTCTTAACCCATCTTCTGTCATGTAGCCCTCAAATATAAAGTCTATCTGGTCTACAAGACACGGGTGGCCATTACGTGAGGGCACAGGGGTGTGGAGAAGGGTGCAGCCACAGTGAGCTAGGCCCTATGGATTCGGAAATAAATTTGCCCCTAATAATTACATTATAAAATGAATACATAATGGATGAGATCAATGATCTAAGAAGGCTTCTAAATAGTGGCAACCAGACTGTTGCCTAAATCAGGAGTCGACAAACTACGGTCTGTAGGCCGAACCCAGCTACCCATCTGGAACGCAGTCATGCTCGTTCGTTTACAAGTGATCTCTGCTCTTGTCCCGTGACGGCAGAGTTGACGCATTGTCACAGAGACGGCAGGCAAGGAACGAGTGAGCAGCGAGGAAAGAGGACGGGAGTGTTATTTCAGAGGAAATAGTGCCCACATGGCAACGAGGGTCCCCCAGTATGTGATGTAGGTGTCCTAAGCCCCCACCTTCCCCTGCTGCTTCTGTTCCCTTTCCTTTCTGTCCAAACAATCTGCGATCAGGTTCTTCATAGAAAGTGTTTGTCAACCCTCAGCCTAACTAAAAGTATTAACATACTTAGAGAAAAAAAATAATCAGAAAGGGCAGTGAATGTTTAAGAAATCAAGAAAACTGAGAAAGCTTTAAAAATCAAGAAAACTAAATCAAAAAAATTAAAAATCAAGGGCTGCCTGGGTGGCTCAGTCAGTTGAGCGTCTGACTTCGGCTCAGGTCATGATCTCACAGCTTTTGAGTTCAAGTCCCACGTCGGACTCTGTGCTGGCAGCTCAGAGCCTGGAACCTGCTTTGGATTCTGTGTCTCCTTCTCTCTCTACCCCTAACCCACTGGCATTCTGTCTCTGTCTCTCTCAAAAATAAAGAAAACGTTTTAAAAAATTAAAAATCAAGAAAAAAATAAAGGAAATTAAAGCCAGATGTGCCCTTGCAAATACTAACTTACGACATTAGCTTGATGAAGGCCCAGGGTTAGCAAGTCCTGGTAGGACCTGTGGCGAAATGGATGCATCAGGTTAAAATAGCATATCAGTAGTTGTTACAGCACCTCTTATCGAGCACCTCTGTATGCCAGGCATTGTACTTAAGCGCTTTACATGCGTTATTTAACGTAATACACAAAGCAAAACTATTAATGAGTGGGTGCTGTCTCCATTTTAGAGGTGAAAAAATATGAGGTTCAGAGAGGTGAAGTGACTTTCCCAAGTCTCCACTGTAAGTTGAAAAGCCCAAGTCTTGCACCTCCTGCCTCCAAAGCTCCTAGCCACTATCTTATACAGTCATTAATATTCTACCGTTATACCCAACAAGGAAATGTCGATTTGGTTAGCCCTACATCTGCAGCACCTAGCCCAAAGCCTAGCACTTCTTGGGTGATCGGACGTCTTTTGTCGAACATGTGAAAATCTCATGCTCACCCACCAAGGTTTTTATTACAGTTTGGCTTCCCATGTAGTTGCTTACATGGGAAGAGTGAATCAAACGGAGAATTCAAGTCCTTGTGCCTCTTGCCAGCTCACTGTACCCCACTATCAAGCAAAATGCATGCAGTTTCATTTCTAATGAGTCATTTATGAAGTTGGTTAGTGGAAGTCAATCCCTGAGCCACAGGGCCTGTCCGCGCATCAGCACCCGCGGACCTCCAGGGACCGGCCAGAAGACAGCCCGTCTCCTTGTGTATTGCTGTGAGCTCTCAACAGGGGGACTAAGAAACAAAAGACTCAACCGCCAAGGCCACCTCGAGAATAGGAGCAAAGCTGGGATTCAAAACCCGATCTATCTGACTCCAGATCCAATGCTGTTCCTTCTTCTGCCACATCTTCTCTTTCGTATGACAAAATGTTTACAATCTTTCATTTTCTTTAACAACGCAAGAAATCCAAATTTATTTTCGGAAAAAATCAACATAATAAATGAGGAAAAAGAAAAAAAAATACACATAATCCCTCTCGCAGAGATGATCTATTAATATTCTAGGTATATTTTTCCAGATTTTTTCTTACGCATGCCTATTTTAACCAAAAATGCAATTGTACTGTCTTATAATCTGCTTTGGCCTCTAATAGAGTGTGAATATTTTATGACAATCTAGATGTACACATAATCATTTTTAATGTTGTCATCTTGTATTGTATTGATTGTATTATATTGATTGTATTGATTGTATTGATGTGCCAAAATTTAGTTAACAAAAATCTCACTGTCAGATACTGAGTTTGTCTTGGTTTTTTGAGCTTATAATCTAACGCGTCTACTTTATTCTAAGCAATGCCCCCAACTCTAACCCTCGTCTTCACCTGACCTCTGTCTCAGAGGCTGGTGTGAAATCCTACAGCATCAGTGTGTTAGCAGTGATAATCACAACGCCTCCGTTTCTGAGTCCAGAATTGATGCGAAGTAGACACAGGTGTTCCAAACAGCATCTTTATTACTGGCGAGTCGGAATTGAACACCACCGTTTAGTGATGGCCCCCGATGGGTCTTCCTAATGGAAGACCAAGTCTAGACCTGAAGACAGCCCAAACCATGGCCTCGTACCCTCCGCATGACAAGCACACAGCAAGCAGCAGGCCTGGCCTCTCAGCCCTAGAGCAGGGAGGGCATGGAACATGCCAGAAAGTCTTCAAGAGTGGAAAAGCGCTAAGATGCCATGCTGGCTTCTCTCAGTCTCACCAATCAGATCAAAACCTCCCACACCCAGGCTGAGGTAAGGATGAGGAAGGCCTGAGGGAAGAGGCTGGGAAGATCATTCCAGCACAAGTGCCCACATTTGATGATACATAGACGCCAACGCCCGCCTCTCCTCCTGCTGCCTCCTCTTCATCTTTCTCTTCCCTGCCCTCAATTCTGAGGTGGGGATCGCTCCCCATGGCTTTCCCATATATCACAAGCCTGTTAGAAGGCCATAACCACAAAACTAAGCATTTGCTTTGACCACGGCCACTGTCTCAGCCCTGGTCAGAATCATCAGTCTGCAGAGGCACATGGTTTTGTCTGGACATGAGTCATTCTTGGTAATCCTAAGAGCGGAGGAACTCTGCAGGAGCCCGGTTCTCTCCTGTGAACTGAGGCACAGAGGTCCCTGCCTCCGTCCCTTCGAGGCGGATTCCAAAACGTTCTGACCGCCTTTGGAGCCCCACAGGCCCTGCGGCTCCGGGGCCCCCCTGAGCTCTCCAGGAGACCACAAAGACGCCCACCCTGAATTTGTACTCCAGCTGCCTCGTCTGAGACAACAAGCGTGGTCAGCGGGTCCAATCCTTGCTTGCGGCCTTGGACGAGGCACGTGGATGTGAACCATGGCGTCCTCATCTGCAAAATGTGGCCAACAAGCCCCTTTCGGAGACCTTCGAAGCTGGCATGGCAGGCGGGCCCACCCCTGCAGGCTTCCCCGGTCACTCCCAGGTGCCCCTGCTTCTTTCCCCCCTCTTTATTTGCATATGCAGGTCCCCTGTGGCACTTTCACACCCTTATCTCCACTCCCGCCTGCCTCACCTGTCCAGAAGGTCCTCCAGGGCAGGGAGCTTGAGTCTTTGTTCCCCATCTCCCGGACTCAGTGCCTGGCACGTCGACCTGCCTCCAAGGGCCAGTAAGGGGAACAGGAAAGGGGAATGTGTTCAAACCACGGCAATCTGAGTTCTGGAAATCCATGAGCTTTATCCCTGTCAGTGTCTCTAACTCTCCAAGCACAAAAATCTTCCCTCTTAGACTGAAAACTGCCCCTTCAGGGTACGGGGACACAAACCATGGCAGCTCAGCAGGAAGCTTTGTGTGTGCGGCCCCCGCTGTTGCTTGATCAGCAGCTCTCTGCCCGGATTACGGAGAATCTGGAGCGGGAGTGTCTGCCCTGGAGCCCCGGGTCATGTGTGTGCACAATCAGTAGCCTCTCCAATACAAACAACCCTGGAAAGACAATACCAGTTTGTTCCAAAGAGAGAGGAATTCTAAGCAGTTGCCATTTCCTGGATGACTGCGTATTCTTTACCCTGGAAACATGAACGGTCTGAACAGAATTTATTCAAAAACATCTTTCCCCCTCGTTTCAAATTGAGGGGGTCAGCGTTACCTCTGACCAGTTCTTGATGGCGATATTGGAAACAGGGAGGCTTCTGTTTGATGTCTCAGTACTACCCCTCCAAGGAGTATGCAAATTCAAGCATAAAAACCAGAAATGGGAGTACACAGAAGAAGGCCGAATACATGCATGGTTTCCCAGGCGAACTGTAGGTATAATTACTACCACTGATCAGTCTCATGGTGCAAATGATTTTGCATGTAACATGCAGACTTTAAAAAAAAAAAAAACAAAAAAACTTGAATATCAGGCTAAGAGGAAAAACACTGTGGCCTTTTATAGTAAGGGAAAGTGTGTCCCTAAGGAAATCATGAAGGCCCCAGTTGCTCAAATCTTACAAAAGAGACTGTACAAATCTCTCCCGAAAATACTGTGGGGAATAATTCTGTTAGCTGGGGAATTGGCTAGATGATCTAATAGGCCTTTGCCCTCACTCTAATTTCTATGATTCATGTGTGACTTATTTAATTGTTACCATCTATTGCAGATATATAAAAGAATGCTTTTATTCTAAAAAAAAAAAAATCTAAATTCAAATCATCTTTAATATCACACTAAGTTCTTACTCCCGTCACCCTTCAGAACATTGACATATTAACTTTTTGACCTACCCTGAACCCTCCTGCTACCTCCCAGGATACAAAAAGTACATCTGCTGTGCCTCGGGGTGTAACGGGGAGCCCCCATCCCACAGCACATTGAAAACAGGTTCGGGAGAACTAAGGGTTAAGTGAATTCCCCCAGGAATTCCAATCTGTTGCAGGCTGCTAATTCAGAAGCTGCCTGGGGCCTAGGTGTAACCACAGCTAGGAAAACAATGCC